CGTGCAGCGTTTGCGTCACATTTCCCGGCCGGGCGTTGCGTTCTTCTTGCAGGGACTTTTCTTGAATTTGTCCCCCCCCCCCCAAAAAAAAATACACACCTGACGCACACAGACCTCGTCTAGCCAGTCATAAGGTTTTTGCTGTTTGCGTCAGCAGCAGCAGCAGCAGCAGCAGCAGCATCTTTGTCTGGCACATCAGCTGTCTCTCTGGCCATGGCATTCGTTCAAATTGTTTCACATGTTTCTTTTGGTTTCGATCAGCTTTTTGGGGCTCGTTTGTTGTTCGTTGTCGCGCGCTTTCGCTCAATCATCATTGCTTGAAGCGGAGCGGTAGAGTGTGGGGGGTGGGGTGTGGCTAACACAGCCCACGTGAGCTGTGGACGTGCCGCGCAACGTGAATCACATGGAAAAATTTGCCACAATTGTTAGCCAAATTGATTAGCGGTAAAAAAGAAAAAAATAAAAATAAAGAAATGTTCTCTTCCTTTGTTAAATGCTGTCTCTCCCACTCTCCACTCTCTCTACACTCTCTCTCTCTCTCTCTCACTTGCGCTACCCGCCTTCACGCTCTTCCTTTTGCCATCATTCGGCTCGTGCGTGTTTATCTGCATTTTGCGCGTCTCAGCATTATAATGCAACTGTTCTTCTTCTTCTTCTTGCTGCTGTTGTTGTTGCTGCTGTTTTGCCGATAAGCCGCCTTCGAGGGCTCAACAATGCACGTCTGCCGCCATCTACCCATCTCCCCCCCCCCCCCCCCCCTTGCTTGCCTTTATCAGCGTTTGATTTAGCCTGTAAACAGCTGATTGTATGGCCACCTTGTTTACGAAATCGATCGACATTTTTGTTTACAGCTAGCAACTTGCAAAAAAAAAAAAAATAAATAAGAAAGGAAAGGAAAACAACAAAAATAAAGACTAGCTGGTCGGCTATGAACGACTGCGCAATACTCTCTAAATAGCGTGTTTACCAATTGAATCAGTCGCAGTGTCTTATCGATGATTGCCAGTGACTTTAAAACTGTGACCTTTGGAAGTATCGATGCTTGTCATTTTGTTGGTATCGAGTGGGCGTGGCCGCGACACTGTTGGCTCTATTCTTGCGTAAAGGTCAACAATGATATATGTAATTGCAAAATGGGTGAAACTGTGGAATATGGGCGTGGCCAAACAATTTGCAGCGGCTATGTACGAATATAAAGCTCAAGTTTCAAGATCTGTGATTTAACCAATATACTCTTGCGTAATACGTGAACTGAGTATATAAATAATTTCAGATTTCCATGTTATGTGAGAGCGCGGGGAGCTGAGAGAGAGAGAGAGAGGGGGAGGGGGGGGGGGGGCAAATATACCCACTTGTCTAAATTGATCGAGGCAGTCAAGAAGATCTCTCGTACAGCAGGGTAAGCTGTAACATTATTTGTTGGCTTGTTAAATGATTACAGGGTATACGAAGCAGTCAACAGGCCAAGAGACCAACAGGAAGTGCTGCCATTCGGTTGCTGGGCAATGGCGTCTTTCAGTGGTGTTCGGTGTACGGTGTACGGTGTGCAAAGCTCGTGGCAATATTCAATTACGACTGCGCTGCCAGCGCAGCTGCTGCTGCGTCGCCTGTTGCTGGCAATGCAATGCGACAGTCGCTCTTAATGCAAAGAGAGCAAAGCACAATTCTCTTTGCGCGCTAACAGCTTATCAATACAGCCAGGCAACAGGTTCGGTTCAATGGCTCTTCGCTGGTCTGCTGCTGTTGTTGCTTCCATGCCACGATCACCAATATGGGCATATCTATGCATGTCTGTGTGTCTGTGTGTCTGTGTGCGAGTGTGGGTGTGGGGGCTATACAATTCAGGCAGGTCAGTTCTAAAGCGCTCGCGAGTGTTGTAAAGAAAAAGAGAAGAAAAAAAACAAGTAACTGTGCCACGATCACGATAGATCGGCACAGATGAAATGTGACCTAGGCAATTGAATGGAAATGCTAAATGCGACATTTTGCTTTTAGTCTGCAACCATAAACTGTGGAAAGTGTGACGTTATGGGAAACAGAAATAGTTTCTTTTTTTTAGGGAAATCAATTATTTAAACTAAATCAAATTGCCGCTGCCAGGCGGGCGCAATTGATCAATCCAAATAAGCTGTTCACAAACATACATATGTAAATAAGTTATATGCATGTGCTTCCAGGTACCAAAATAGAACGAATATAATCGCTGAGGAGCGTGCTCAACTGATGATCGGCATGTAATAAGCAAAATCAATAAACTGTTGACACTATTTGGACCCTGCACTGATCTGGCTTTGTGCTCATGTGCTCTATCTCTGTCATTGCTATACCCCTTACATTGTGTGATGCATTGTTGCAAAAAAAAAAAAGAGAAGAAATATGTGAGCTACATGTATAGAGTATCTGTCAGTCGGCTGTATCGGGCTTGTTTGATTTTTAAGCAATTGCCAAATGGCCGCTTTTTGTTTTGTGTCAAGCTGTGGGGCCTGCGCGCTTTTATTCTTTTGCTTTGCTTTTTTTTTGTTTCAATGTTTGGCTTTCATTGAATTAAATTGCAAATTGAGCGGCGCAACGGATTTGTTTTTGCTTATCTGCCAATTGCGTAGATAATCCCACGCAGCAACAGCCGCTCAGCCGCTCAGCAGTTCATCTTCATCAGCATCAGCCAGAGCCAAAGCTAATCTCATTGGACACACACACGTACGCATGGGCAGGCGTAAGAGAGTGTGTGTGTGTGTGGAAGGGAGAGGGAAACAGATGCGCTTTGGTTTTACTGTTCCGTTCCGTTACGGTTCGGTTCATTTTGTTTTTGTAGTTTGATCTCTTTTGCTTGTTACCTTTTGCTCTGCGCGCGAGCGCTTTACTCTTTACACTCGAAGAGCGTCGACGTCGACGTCGGCGTCGGCGTCGCGGCTTGAGTCGTGGCAGCCCCTCGTGGCTCCCACTGTCTGGTGCCTGGCGTACGTGACTTTAGCATCAGCGGCGATGTCCGCCGACGCCGTTGCTGCAGGCGCTGCTGTTGCAAATCTCGCGCCACATGCGGCGGCAGCCAAGCCGGTCAGGCACAGCAACAGCGGCAACAGCGGCAACAACAACGGCTGCAAATAAACCTGCCCGGATTACAATTTGTCCGCCGTTGAGCTAAGCTCTTGATTATTTTATTTATTTATTTATATATGCATGTGCGTATGTGTGTTTGTATGAGAGAGAGAGAGAGAGAGAAAAAGAGGAAAAGCAACAAGAGCAGCAACAGACGAAACGAAAGCCGCATTTTTGAACGTTGACTTGTGAATACTCTAAATCCCAGCTAAATCCACTCAAGAGTGGAATGTTAAACAGCTTGGTATAGCTTGGATAGTTCTGTTCATGTGAGAAATTCACTCTCTTAAACTTCATTTCCATTCTGTTGAGTACAAAACTGCACGGAGTTGCCATATGAGCATTGTATAATAAGGTGGCAACAATTCAAAATTCGAATGGCATTAAAGCAATGATGCCCAATTTTGGGCAGAGCATTGACAAAACTGCTGGAGTTTCATGTTGCGGCGTGTTGCCTGCCCCGCGCAACCCCTAAACCCCCCGCCCAACAACAACAACACACCCCACCAACTCGTATTGGATATATATATGTTTGTCGGCGTCAGCAAAATCAAATTGAATAAACTTTTTGCATAGCAACGTACAGCCGAAAATGCCGCTAACCGAACACCGTCTGACAATTGGCCATGTTGGCCATGCGACCATGCTTTTGGCCCATTTAAGACCGCCCGCCGTCTTGCCAACGGCGAACGTTAGACACATGATATTACTGTTCCGAACGTAGCTGATACGTCAGCTCACCTGGTCGAGTCGACTGCGACTGTTCACACTCTCACCTGGCTAAATATTTGCCAAAATAACAAAACAAAAAAAAAAACCTAAAGTAAATACAAACAAGTTCAGCAGCGATCAGCATTCAAAAGCAGATGACCCATCCTGACCTCAAGCCTGGCATGTTTATCATATGGAACTGGCTCAAGGATTGAGGATCCTTAACTAACGGCAAAGCACATATATTCCTCTAATGCAGTTTATCTTAAATCAAATAATATTTTATTAAATAGTTTAACTGGAAAATTGAAACTCAAAGAAATTGTTTAAGCCGAATTGCAGTTCATTTGAAAGATTTCCTGTTGGAACCGGCAAAAATTATTATTCCGCAGCTCAAAAGAAATTGAAATTGAAGGAACTGAAGAAAAATCCGCCTTAAGCTCGTTCAAACTTAATAGTTGACTTGATCTAGGCTTGTCTGGCCATAAATTATTTTTCTTATGCAAAGCTCAAAAATGATCAGAACTAGATGCATTAAACTTGATATGTTGGGCTTCGCCTTGCCCTTAGAAGGAATATCTTAAAAATTTTCATGTCATAAACAAAAAAAAAAGAAAAACTTGGAAGATTTCTGCCTCTAGTTTTCGAATCCAAAAAAAAAAAAAAAAAACAAACGAATAATCAAGCAAAGGTTTTACTTTTGCTTTAGTTTCGTTAACATTGAAGACGTTCGATTATCAAAGTCGCGTCCGTGTCATTGATAAGTAAATAATTTATAGTCTCTTGATATTTTTAATATACTTACTTTTATTAAATTGCTGAAGCAATTTGGACTTGACTCTCAATGTGCGCGAATGCCGGGCACCTGCTGCGGTTAACTATTATCTTGGGGGTAAATAATTTGCCGGGTGATAAGCATGGAATTGGCTACGAAGCGGAAATGCACTTCAACCGGGTCCAACAGATCGCGTGATCAAATTCATGAGCTGTGCGCGTAATTAAGAACCTGATGGATGGGTTAGCCAGCAGAACTGCATGTTAATGGCCAGCATGGCAAATGTTTATCCATGTGGATAAATATCAGTTGGCGTTTTATAGCCTCAATAACAACATGGCATTTATATGTTGCTCTCTCTCTCTCTCTCTCTCTCTCTCTCTCTCTCTGTCTCTCTGTCTCTCTCTGTCATTGGCAGGTGTACGTGGCGCTTTTTCAGCCGCTGTGCGTGACACGGCATCAGTTCAGAAAGGTGCTCAATTGCATGAAGGTCATCAGGGCGCTAAAATACCAGGAGGTCTATGCTCAGGAGAAGGTCACCAAAGTGGACAGCCTGTCGCTGGTGCTGAGCGGCAAGTGAGTGAGACGAGATCAACAACAACTGAACCATGCGTATCGATGGTAATCTTTGATATTGATATGCGATCTCTTTCCCAGATTGGTCGTCTCGCAGCATCAGCGGGCGCTGCACATTGTGTTTCCCCATCAGTTCCTAGACTCGCCAGAGTGGTTTGGCGTCTCGACCGATGACTATTTTCAGGTGAGCATTCGATTTTCCAGAGTCAGCTTTAACTAAGCTTCTTGTGTGTGTGTGTGTGTGTGTGTGTGTAGGTGTCCATTATGGCCATGGAGGAGTCGCGTGTGCTCATCTGGCATCGGGACAAGCTCAAGCTGTCGATAATGGCCGAGCCATTCCTGCAAACTGTATTCGATCACATACTGGGCCGTGATGTGGTCAAAAAGCTGATGCAGGTGACACAGGTGACAATCGATCAATTTATTAGCAACTTTTCCAATTGAAGCTCGCTTGACTGAACATTGATGTCCTCTGAAATAGGTGAGCGAATCGATAGCCAGCAACGGTTTCCTGCCCTCGGGCGGCTATGCGGAGGATGCTGAGGACAAGCCCATGCTCATACTGAAGAAGAGCGTCGATGTTGGCCACGGACTGACGGCGCTCATCAATCGCCAGCTGCAGGGTGAGTCCATAGTCAAACGTGTAGAATACTCCACTTGCTCCCACTTCCACTCTTTATCTCAAACTCTCTGACTCGCTAACTGGCCCGCGTGCGTGCCCTTCCGCTCTCTCTCTCGCGCTGAAACAATGTTTTTGTGTAAGAGCTGCGACTCTTTGATACCCTAACCATCATTATCCAATCGTGCCTTATGCCTATCAATGCTTTGTTGCACGCTTGCGCTGGACGCCACTGGGTTTGGGGCGCGCGCTTGTTGCATGCCACATTGAATTAAAACTAACATAAACAAGTTGATGCTTTAATTTTAATTAATTTAATTTAATTCAATTGCTGATATTTTTCACATATAATTATATATTTATTTTTGCATCTGTTGCATTTGGTTTTTGTTTCGTTTTGTTTCGTTTTGTTTGCCATTAACTGTACAAATGTTGATGTTTATGTTCGTTTTTTACGATTCGCTATCTAATTTTAGAAGAGCATGTTCCTTTACTTGGTCGCACGTACAAACACACTAAGCAGCCGCTGCCACTGTTGACGCCGCCAGGTGCCGCCCCTTTGGCGGACACCAATGTTGATAACCACTGCAATGCCGCTGCAGGTGCAGGTGCCACTGGCAGCACTCAAAGAAACTGTAACTGAATCCTGATATAAGCAACTGCACACACTTCTTACACACACACACACACCCACACTTACACAGCATCAATGTGTTGTGTGTATGCATGCCCTTTGTGGCAGCTTCAGTCAGCGACACCAGCGGCAACAACAACAACAACAACAACAACAACAACAACAACAAGAACAAGAACAACAACGATAACTGCCAGCACAGCTCGAGAAGCCACATTTGAAGTAAAGCGCAGCGATCTTAGCAGCATCTGCATCTACATACAAGTCATCTATCATCTATTCATCTTTGCATCTATGCATCTATGCATCTATCATCGACATCGTCATCGTCATCGTTGATCCTCAACTCATCGCACGCACTCGCACTTGAATGCTCGTCTAACTCTAAGCATAAATATCAAGACATAACACAAAGTATATTTAATGTATATTCGATTTAAACTGTTGCCAGGCAGCTTTGTAAAATTCTTGAATTTGTTTACACTCATTGCAAAATGTTTGCTTATGAGAGCCAACAGTTGCGACAGGCGCTAAATAGGTATTTCCATTCAAGATCCATTCAGATCATTCAAGTCAATTATGTACCTACTCACTGATCGTGCGTCACATTTGGCACATATTCAGCGATCGTTCGGCTCGATTATATTTGAGAATTGTTAGCTCCTCGCGGCATGTGATCGTGATTTACAGCCGACAACTAAGTCATGATCGTCAAGTGATCGACACTGTATTCAAAGATCAAATGTTTGGCATTACGCAACTGCTTTACAAGGTACTCAGTTGTTTTTTTTTTTTTTTTTTTTTTTTTGGATATAGTTAAAGATCAAAGTTCGGCGCCATCTGCTTGGCCATAGTCTAGTGATCATTGATCACCAATTGATGATTCCCCACTTAGCATAGCTGAGTATGTTCATAGACCACAATACCATATATAATTATAATAATAATATTACAAAATAATCAATACAATCAATAAGCAATTTCTAAAAAGTTTCGACTTCCGTTCCACATAAAATGGAAAATTTTTACTGTGCAGGCACATAGCCAATTTTAGTTATAAATATATACGTTTGCCTATCATTATCACATTTGTTTTATTATTATTATTAATAATTTCTTTTTGGATTTTGCACATTGTGTTTTTTTTTTTTTTGTTGTTAATGAGTTTGTTTTTGAATCGCTGATTGATTTGCATATTAATACGATTTGAATTGCAAAAAAAAAAAAATTGACAGAAAGAGAAGATATGAAGAGTAAATAAAAGCGTAAATTAATTGTAATTAATATCTATATCTATATCTATATCTACACGCATACATATACACACGTAATATACTAAGCGATATGCATATACATATTTAGTCGTTGTACATACATATACATATACATATACAAATACATATATATATATATATATGTATGTATATATTAAACTGTATCATACACCTAACATACTTTTGTAGAACATTAAATGCGTAATCAATGTGAATGTAAACAAGCCAAAAAAAAAAAAAACAAAACAAAACATAACAAAACAATAATAATAGTAATAGTAATAATAATGATAATAATAACTAAAGCCAGACATAAAAATTGATTTGAATTGACTTGTTTAATTGATTAAGTTTTACATTTGGCCACATTTCGGCGGCGTTTCCACTGGGTTCGCGTCTCGGCTAATTGAGCGGCGCGCGCATGCTAAGCACGTGCACGAACCCAAACGAAAAGGCAAGCCAAGAAAAAAAAAAATAAAAATACAAACCGATCGCATCGAACCTTTTGCCCGGCGGCTGTTTGCGTATCATTAACATTAAATTTGCGCAATTGGCATTGATTTGTTTCTGTTATTGTTTTTGTTTTTGTTTTTATTTAAAATCACAATTAAATGAATAATAATAATAATAATAATAATGATAAAAATAATCATATCGTAGCAAAATATTTGTTATTTAATTTACAAATTATATACCGCCGCCTGCTCGCTACCCATTCCCCACCAGCCGCCGCTACGGCCAAACGACCATAGCTGATAACCAGCTAGATCCTATCTGTCAACACTTTGGGCATGCCCATATATCTACACACAAAGTGCAGCCGACGGCCATCCGCCTGCCCCTCCCCAGATATCTGGGCCCCAATGCGCACTGCGGCGACTGTCTACACTTGGGCCACGTGCCATTGTTAGAGAAATAAAGTATGCAAACAACTGTGCCAATTTATTATTTTTGTTTTTGTTGACGAGCTTCCGTTTTGTGTTTTTTTTTTCGCCGCATGGCCATCTGACGCAGTGCATCGTGCTCACCTTAACTCGCACTCGCGCTCGCGCTCTGTGCCGGACTAGCAATACTCATCGTATGCGCACGTATCTTCCAAGTTCCAGGTGTCACCAGCAATACCATTAGAGAAATGCACCGTAAAGAGCCGAAAATGCTAGAATCTGATCAATATCTAGAGAAATCTGAAAATGCAGATTAGTTGTCCAGAGCCTAATTCCAGACACAATGAGATCTAGCTAACGTTGTACTTTTAATCCGATTTCAGGTTCTTGGAGGCTTTGGTTCATAGCTTGTTTGCTATTTTTTTATACCCTGAACCTATAAAGTATATATATTCTTGATCAGCACCAATAGCTGAGTCGACCCAGCCATGTCCCTCTGTCTGTCCGTCTGTCCATATGTATGAACGCAAGGATCTCTGAACCTATAAAAGCTAGAGATTTGAAAATGTAGATGTAGGATAATCGATAACTTACTCCGTTGCCAAGCAATCGATAAAAATCGATATCGATATTCTGTTTTTTGGGCAATTTTGGTAAATAATAAGAGCTAGAGTCATCAAACTTGACATATAGCTTCTAAAATAGAATATATATATACATGCATTTGATGTTGTAAGAGGAGGGTTCAGGGTATCCCCTAGTCGGGAGCTCCCGACTAGAACTTCTTATTTGTTTTATATTGATTTTATTTGCTGCATCTAAATATATTCTTATTCATCGAAATAAGTTGATTAACTTAAAATCGATCAATCAATTCAAATCATTGTGTTTGATCCAAGCAGTTGTGTGGCAAATATAGTTTAGGCTTAGGTTCGGGCTTCAGGTTGAAGAATCGATTTTAGTTTCGGGTTCAAACTTGTGTAGTGGCAAACCAGTTTGCAGCCTTGATTTGAATTGAAATTGATTTATTTTCTCACCTGCAAGCAAAAATTAAGTCGTGAGTTTCGCACTCATGATATCGAATCATAAATAAATAACTATTATTTGTTTATTATGGATTTTTGTGCATATCGATTTTCGCTGTTAAGCTTTGCCTTTCAATTGTGCAAAATTGATTGAAATAAAATTGAAGTGCTTATTGTTTTACAGTCCGAATCGAAATGTGTACAATTTGACATATTTGCACAATAATAAAGTATTTGCCATCAAAATGAGAGTCGGTTGTTTTTCTCATTTCAAATCACAGCTTCGATTGTTTCAGTACTTAAGTAAATTTAGTAAGTGATACATGCATATAATTATACAAAGTAAACATGCATTGCCCCATTTGGTAGCTGTAAAAAGAGCTATAAATTATTTTCGCGTATTGACAAATTGTCATAAACAAAATTAGCACGTTTATAAATAGCGTTCAATTGCATCACATAGCCAGGCGATCTATTTCTGTGCACCTGTATGCATGCGTGCATGTGTGCATGTGTGCATGTGTGCATGTGTGCATGCATGCATGTGTGCATGTATGTACACAAGTATATTAAGTACTGCTCCCATGACACACTTAATCAACGAGCTGCCAACACGAGTATTTGCGCAAATGATTTGCTAGTGGCAAATTTCGTTTAGACACAATCTTGAAATTGTTTACGCCAAAGCCCAACGCCCACCGCCCACTTTTAGTGTTGACTTCAGTCGAGATTGATCGTAAAAGCTCTGTCAATATCCTGATGTTCGATTTTGAATACTATCTAGTTTTTGCTGCTGATCAAAATGCGTGTGTGTGCGGGTGTGTGTATGGCTCGCACAATCCTTAACATTTTGAACATAATTGTATTTAATTTAGATTTTGTTTTCAATATCGTCCAACGAATTTATGAATTTTTCCAATGATTTTCTATATTTTTTGGGTGCCTATAATTTTGTCGTATGTACTCGTAAAACGTCGTATACTATATATGTATATTTATATATATATGCTTGTATATATATAACTGTATATATATATATATATCGTTCATAAACGTTAATCAACTACAACAACAACAACAACAACAACACCACTACAACCACAACAACCACCCAACCACGAACAACAACAACAACAACAACCAATGGCAACAGCTCTGCCCAGGATATCGAAGTATTATGATTGTGGTAAGTTGCATTTCCAAGATTTCCCCCCCCCCAAGAACACCAACAAAACACCTCGTCCCAACCCCAGAGAGAGTAAACCCAGCCGGCGATCGAATGCAACAGTAGCTGTAGTCTAACTAACTAACTAACTACTAACTAAGTAATAAATTATATATTTATTATCTGTATAATAATCTAGCTGTTTAACCAACTATCTAAGTGAAACTGTTTGTCTGTTTGTCCGGCCGTCTGTTTGTCTGTCTGCGTCTGTGTGCGTGCCTCTCTGCAGAGTCGTATGCTCCTTGTGCTTGACGCTACTGTACGTGTGCCCTGTCTGTGTGAGCGAAACGTTTGGCTGTGTGCGTGCGTAGTTATTGAATATACTTTCTCGTAGCTTGCATGCTCGGTTTGGTTTTGAAAGAATGAATTAATTCATAAATATTAACCCGCACCTCCCATCCACCCACTCCACCCAAATACGCTGGCACACCCACAATTCATACACACACCGCCTGCGTCTGTGCCGTGGGTGTGTGTTCGGTTGTGTTGTGGTGTGCGGCCGGTTCAATGTTTTATTAATAACCGCCCTTTGTTACTCATGTAAACGCTATTGTTAAACTTGAAACTCGATCGCGATCTCGAAACGAAAACAAAAACGAACACATCTTGTATACTTCTCATTGCAGCCGGCGATCCCAATTCCTGGCGTCTGGGGCGGATCGACGAGACTGATCATGAGACGGCCGTGTGAAAGCGCATCACCATATAGATATTAACATATATATATATATTGTATGTATACCCAATGCGTGTATATATAGGAAGCGAAAACAGTTCGCATCAATGTGGGACAGGACAATGTTTAGACTTGCGTTTTTGAGTATTATTAGAGGTATATCTTAGGCAACATATGAACATATACGCATTCGAATAGCAGACAGCAGACAGAGAGCGCAGCATACATGAAGGTATTCATGCTATATATATATATATATATAGTTGGGTATACGCATTGACAGCTATTTCACAGATGCGCTTAGAAGAAGGGTCATCAAGTGCATGATGATTGAGCAAATGTATTTTTTTAATATAGAAACCTAAGAGTACACTACACACAATTAAATATAGTATTAGTTTGTATGTGTATGGTATGCTAAAAATAAGTATGTAACTTTGTATGATCGGCCATTGGATGCCTAAACTATTCAGAGTTTGAATTCGGCAATCGGCAGCCCCATTTAGTGACTTATTCGATACGATTTCCCACATTCGCATTGAGTTACAAGTATATTAATATAAATATCTATATATATTTTTTTTTTATATATACATATAGGGTAAATCACATTAAATGAACTCTCTTTAGAATCGATTTCTATATATTTCTATATATTTTCGAGCTGAACTGAAGGACCTACATGTTTTCCTTTAAGGTCTGCTAGTTTTCTGTACAAATTTAAGATCATTCGCAATTGGGTTTGTTAGGGTTTGTTAGTAAGGCTATTCATATTCATACGAATTGGTTTGAGTATACATTTCGAAGATAGGGAGAGAGTTGCTTAAATTTGTAATTTTGATAACATTAGACATAAAACAGCAATACAAATTGTTGATCTGGCCGAATTGCGGCATTCAGATACCCGTTGATTATGTTGATAAATTTCTTAGATCTGAATCAGAGCTGTAGGGTATTATTCAATTTCAGAATTCAAAATTTGAACGCATTGCCAACTATTTGGTTTACACGGGAACAAGTTTGTTTATTTTAATAGTTAACCTTAAAGTATGCTACAAATATTTGAAATATTTCCAACGAATTGTTAATACAACCTTAGGAATCAAAGTCGTGAGTGTAGCTGAATAACAATCTAGACAAGCCTCGATATGCTAGGCCACAAAAAAAAAGAAGAAAAAATAAAAAAACAGATATATACAAAAACAGTTGAAGCGGCCATAACATTTCGGACGCCACTGTAGAAAACGCCATGCTAAGAGTCCATTGCATACTTCTTGGTGCTGCATGTAAATGCTCAGAGTAGTAGAGAGAATGTTGAAGAATATGATGCATAATTTTGATGACAATGTGTTTGTTCGACACGCCCCCAACTTTCGCCCAAAACCAAACAAAAAGCCATCCCCCAGCCCACCCAAACGAATAAAAAACGCACCCCATACAAAAAGATTGTCTGAAATTTAAGTATTATATATTGTTATAATTGATTTAAAGTATTATAATAAATATTTATCTATATTTATTGTTGTTGGCGTGAATGAATTTTTGTCAATCAAAATTTAACTTTAGACGTGTAAGCCTAGCAAATTCTAAACAGAAAAACAAAAAACAAAGACAATTGAGTAAAGCAAAATTATAATAACTATAATACGAATAATACTGAAGCAATGTTGTTTAATTGTGTATTTAGCTAGACATATGAAATACAAAGGATAACAACTAAATGTTTATTTAATGCAGGAAATAAAACTATGAAATATTTAAACAATTAAGCAAATATATAATTTACATAAGTGTGTTAATGCGTTCAAATTCAAATTGAAATGGAAATTGAAATTGAAGTTGAAATTGAAATGAACACAATAATCGAACTGCTGCTGGAGTTGCGAAAGGCGAGAGCTCTATTAAAGATACAATATGATGTAAGTTAACAAATGAAGAACAACAAATAAATATAGATATGAGCATAATAAAGTTTTCAGCTAAATGCCTGTATTCAGTTTATAGACGAAGCAAAATATACATATTTCGTTTTTAATGTACATAAATACGAGTGTCTCAATTTATTTTCGCATTCATCCATCCTGCAAAATCATCTCCCTATAAACTATTTCGCTCTACTTTAGAGCGTGGCATAAAGCTATAGAAAAAATTAATATTTTTCTTATAATTTATTCAAATTATTTTTCATTCAAGCGTTTACATTTTTATTTTTCCACCTTTTTTCCAGCATGATTTCGGAACAGAATCAACGCAAGGGCAAATATTCAACTCAAGCCAGAACTATGACAAAGCACGTCCTTTATAATCTTTCGCAAATTCATTTGGAAAGTGCATTTCAGACTAAAAGATCCTACAAAAATTTGCTTTGATTCTAAGATTCCAAAGAGGTTCGAATTAAAGCAAAGAGCTCTTCGCAATATTCCGATTTTATGTTTTACTTTTATAAATAATTAAGAAAATGTGTTCACCTTTTGAATAAATTACTCTTGCCTCAGATATACGATATATATTCAAACTATAGTCTAAGATATAGTCCGATTTTGAAGACGATGAGCTCAGTCCATTTCGACAAGTTCGTCTGTCAGTCCAAAGATTGAAATTGAAGTATATATAGTGGTACCTTATATGTGCTATTCCTTCGATATCTCATTGCATAATTACGATAAATATCGATTTGAAGATATCGTTCATAGAGTCTAGTTAGTTACAACAACCATGGTGTATATATCACATTATGAACACTTGCTGCTTATCCCTACAACAAAAACGAAGCAGCCTTACGTTTTGGTACAAGCCCTGGAAATCTAATAAAAATCGGACTACAAGCACCGAAGTTACCAAAGTATATAAAGGGAAGAGGAAGCAGAGCCGCTGTATAAAGCGTACATGTGTTCTGCTGGAATACTCGTTGCTGAATTGACATCAATTGAAGATTATGAAATTAGTTGCTTTATGTTTTGCTTGCACGTGCTTCCTTTTTCAAAACATGATTGGTCCTTCCTAATGAGTACAGGATTTAATATTGTGTCAATTTATCGGCAATGAGTGCCCGCTTCACAATTTCAACTTTTATTTTGCTCATCAGCCAAATTAGGTCACATTTCCAGCTGCAGTGCTTTGTAGTGATGTTGTCTGGGGGTAGAGCTTCAAATTTAGTTGCTCCATGCACAATTTACACCTGTTTTTAATCCTTCAGGATGAGGACACGCGACCACTGGACAGCTAAAAATAAAATACAAAATGAAAAAAATACAAAAATAAACGGCTTAACGTTGGTGTGTTAGTGTGCGCGCGCGTGTGTGTGTATGTGTGTGTGTGATGTGTTTGGTCTTTGAGCAGATAGACAGACCATTGAACACAGGCCCAACAACAGGACTATGGAGAATTCAACCCGGTTTTCGGGGGAAAAATGATGACAACTCAAAGATAAGGGCCTGTAAATGAGTAAAAAACGAGAAAGATGCAAGGTTTTGGGACGACAGCCTTAAAACTAAGCGACTAGTTCGCAGAGAAACAGACAGACGGGAGGACTATATCGACCCGACTGTGGAGACTGATCTGGAATATATCTATATACTCAATGGAGTCAGAGATGTCTGCTGCTATGTGTTACACATTTCATTATAGAATTGGAATAGCCTCGACAAGGGTATATAAAAGCATTCAATTCAAACACGGGCGCTTGTGTGTAGCTTGTGTGTGTCTAACAGCTGTTAGCTTAACAGGATTGCTAAATGTTAAGAGTATGTAACATGGCAGGCTTGTGAATGTTTTATGCCAAAAGTTTTTTATCTTAGCCACTTTTGGAGAGTGTGTTTTTGACAGAAAAGTTGTGCATGCTCCCCATGGTGCAGAGTCCAACCACCACAACAAGTAATCGCAGCAGCATCACCAACGGAGTGCTTTGAAGTTGGCAGCGACAACGGCTCAAGGGGGAAATTGGGCGAGCGCTCCTAAGTATGCTATAGTTTTTCGCCGACGACTGACACAATTGTACCTCTAATGGCACCGCGTCCCCCTGACCCACTGACTGGCTGGTTGTCTGGTTGACGGGCTGTCTGCTGCTAGTACAAGTAATTAAAGTTTCAGCTGCTGGTCAAAAGTTGCTGCCCCGAATGCAAATGCCATGCAAAAAGCGGCCAAGACAATAAACAAAAATGACAAAAAACCAAATGAGAAAAAGTCGAGCGAAAACTTTCCCAGCACAAAGTTGCGAAAACAGTACGAAAAAAAAAAAAAAGAAATGCAATAATAAAATTGGCGCAAACACAATTTGAATATATAAATACCTTAAAGAGGCGGAGGCGCATGTGGATAAGCAGATGCAACACAGCGCAAAAATGAGTATGAGTATGAGTATGAGTATGAGTATGAGTATGAGTATGAGTATGAGTATGAGTATGAGTATGAGTATGAGTATGACTATGACTATGAGTATGAGTATGAGTATGAGTATGAGTATGAGTATGAGTATGAGTATGAGTATGAGTATGAGTATGAGTATGAGGATGAGGATGAGTATGAGTATGAGTATGAGTATGAGTATGAGTATGAGTATGAGGATGAGGATGAGTATGAGCATGAGCATGAGCATGAGCATGAGTATGAGTATGAGTATGAGGATGAGGATGAGTATGAGTATGAGTATGAGTATGAGTATGAGTATGAGTATGAGTATTAGTATTAGTATTAGTATTAGTATTAGTATTAGTATTAGTATTAGTATTAGTATTAGTATTAGTATTAGTATTAGTATGAGTATGAGTATGAGTATGAGTATGAGTATGAGTATGAGTAGGAATATAAGTATTATTATGATTCTTTTTGTGCTTATGACTTTTCTCTTAAATCTCTTAAATCGCCTGGTGGCACTGGTTGTTTTGCTGTTGGTTGCTCTGCCTCCTATTCCCCTTGCCGCACCACCCTGTCCCAATCTGCAGTGCATTGTGGTTATGCATATTGTTGTGGCCAAGCATAAAAAGGACAAAAACAAAAGAAATCAAGTCCGATTGATAGGGTTGTGGAAAAGCGAAATGCCAATAAATCAACCTCATTTGTTTCAGTTGTATGCCACAAAATATGAGTCACAGCTCGTAGCTCCAGCTTCTTGATTGGTCAGAAACGACTTTGCTGGATTAATACAGATGCTTTTCGTTCCTTTTTTAGCGCCAATAATAAGTCCAATCGCAAAAGAGAACACAGCTTAAAGCCACACGATAGCTACTATTCAATTCGTGTGCGCTGCTATCATACATTTTTAAAAACCATTAAGACACGAAAGAGCTGCAAATTAAGCAGATTACAACCCAATATTTAAATTTGACAAGGTTAGGACGCGAGGGCGCCATAAACCTAACTACAGGGTAAGTCATGTTCGAGCATACTCTATTTGCTAGCGTACATTTTGAAAGCGAACACTTTTTGTAAAATCTGCTTTTAACCTGAAATGAATGAACTTCATGAGTCGTCGATCGAGCCATCTGGCTCAGAGACAATAAGAGATGATTTTTCGCTGGGTTTTCCAAAAGTAGCTAATTCAAGTTTGAGCCAAATCATCGAAAATCGATTTTCATATAAGGTTCTTTCACTTTTCTAAGATCCTCTCCAGTTCTACGCAAAGTTGATGAGTACATTTCCAGAAGTTTTTCTTGGGCATTCGTATTTATTCAAATTTCGATGCCATATGTATTTTGTAAAAATTTCATTAATATCGAGCATTAAACACCGAAGTTATATGAGATGAGAAGCTCGGGTTGGGTTAAGAAGAAAGCCTGTTAATAGGCATTTTAATATCCCAACGATACTTTTTGGATCGAAGATGTTTCGTGTCAATACATAATTATTATAAAAGGAGAAGAGCGCAGAGTTTATAACGTCATCTACTGCCGTCTAGAGCAGACTTACTTATTTCATTTTTACCTTAGTCACGCAACAGAGAAGACATCTGGCGCCCCATTAAGTATACTATACTTTCTGAATTAGTGTTTTGAAGACGGAGCCAAGTCCCTCTGTCGTAGAGCCTAAAAGCTCTAGAGACTTGAAATTGTAGCTGCTCCTTAATTAGTCTGTAACAAAACAAATATGCCCCTTGTCCAGTTTCAATGGGTAGAGCACAAAATGCAGCTGTAACAGCTGCGACATGGTCCGGATGTAGAATTTTTTTGATTTTTCCTTTCGGCTCATTTTGTGGTCAAGATTCGAATGTTATAGCCCTGACGGCTGACGGTGTGAATGTTAAAATGTACGGCATATATAATTATAATTTACTTGGCAAATACATGAGTGCAAACTTCAAATAATAATTATTTTCAATACATAATTAGTGCAGTTCTAAGTGGTTCTCTAATTGGGTGGTAGAGTGTGTGTGTGTGGTTTTGCTTTAATTCAATTTGCTTGCAATTATTTTGCTTTAATTTGTTCATTTGCTAAGCAGAACTCAAATGTGGCCAATGTAAATGAATTGCAATAAACTTGTCGCATGGTTGTTGTTGTTGTTGTTGTTGTATAAATTTGCTACGATTTGGCTTCCGCTCCACTTAAAAGAGAAGCGCGCGCTGCAACATGCAAATTGGCCATGGAATGTCAGCTTTGGAATTTGGGTTAGTCGTCGGTTAGCAGAGCCTTAAATCAGTTAACGTTAATAAACCCACTGCGGTTGGGT